TGCTGACTTTTGTAGTACTTAATCCTATTAAAAATGTTTATTAAATTATATTGCAAAAAAGAAAATTACTTAAAATAATTTTCAGCCTTACCAAAACCCATTTATTACAACAAGAGAAACATCCGCTAATAGATTGTGCATGTATAAAAAAAGATTCCGATGTTTAAGCTTCATTGATTTTTAATGCTAAGCATTTTTTTATCATAAAAAAATGTAACTAGAAACCATCATTAACGGAAATTCTATTTTTTTTTGTTGTTGTTACTTTATAATAAAGAGAAAATAATTTGCATTTTAAGAGTGAATGGACAGAAACGAAAGAGAAACAAGAAGCGAGCAGCGCACACATAGATTAAAATGAGACCAACTAGAGCAAGAAATTTATAGAAAAAAAAAGAATTCATTCAGTTATATCCAATAAATAAGGCTTTACATATTTTAAACTGTTTGGTAATTGTCACACTTTTTTTATTTGGAGGTTTGAGGTCTTCTGGCATTTTCTTGGGCGTTTTGCAATGGTTTGCTTTATTGAACTAACAGACTAGCTCTGTATCCACTTTATAACCACTTCAGTCCCAGCTGATGTGCCAAAAATGTCTTATTGATCATTCAGTTCAAGGCGAATCGCTTTCTAAACAGCCTCAAAAATGATTTTCAAGTTCAAATTCTCATTAAAATCATCATCTGCATGTTCGAAAAAGATGGCAAAAAAAATGGTTCCTTTCATGAACATGAAGAAAGGTTCATTTCATATCTCACAATGCCCTAAATGTTCACAAGATAAAAAGTATTTTTTTTACAAGAAAACAGCCTCATGGCCTTTATGTGCATCACATTCCATTTATCTGCCACTCAAGTGCTACTAAAGCAACATGCAAAAGGCAATATTGCTACAGTCAGCTAAAATGGCAACATTTAGCTCGACTGTATTTTATGCAAATTCATATTATGTCTATTATTATTTATTTCATGATCGCTGCCGTTACTACTGGATAAAAATGTTGATACATGTGCTTTGATTTTCATAAATTATTAATTTCTAATTTTCTCTCTTTTGAGACTGTCTTTTAACTTTGGAGCTCATTTTAATTAATCTGAGATTTATGAGGCGGACTATTAATGCTAATTTTCTGACTCACGTTATTTATCATTCTTTGTATTAATTGGTAGCTTAAATATGCCGAAGACTATTACCGCTGATGTTGAACACGAAAAGGTGATATTGAATAATGTTGATACAAAGTTTTGTGAATGTTTAAGTGATACTTTTTGATTAGGATTAAGGATCATTCTAGTTACGAAGCTCGGTTCGTGTGTTGGGTGTAGTTTTGAGGTCTTCGGCACATAACGTGTCTCCTTTGCTAGGATATAACAAGGTACATCAGGTCTTTAGACGTACTCGTGACTTTGCAGTGTGCAGAACTTGTAAGTGGTTCAGATTCCACTATAAACTGTAGGTCTAAAGGGTGGGGTACAAAAGATTCTGTTCTGCAGTGCCTCCAGCTCAAATGGCTGGGCTCTCTCTATGCTTTACCTTTTTTAAATCATTAACTTATGACGTCACTTATTTGGGGACGAGGGTGAGGGTTTGAATTTTTGGTGACAGCTCAATCAAGAGCGTGTAATTTCAGATCAACGTCAAAATTAAGCAACCCCAAACGTGTAGCATATTCCGTGCTTATCAAATAAGCTCAAGCATTGCAAAAATAATCAAATTTCTGAATATATTCGGAGCTAAACTTCATTATGTCATAAAATAACTCACCTCAACAAAGCTTCTATCCTCTAAATTCCATTCGAATAAAATAAAAGCAATTTCTGAAAATAACTCATGATGAATATTTTAATATAAAAAAATGCTCATAAAATGCCTCTCATTGTTCATCGAATTTCCTTCAACTGACTTGTTTAAGATTGATCGATGAACAAATCAAATAGGGCTGGAACTGCCGCCCATAAAAATAACACGCAAAAATATATAAATAAATATGAAAATCATATTTATCAACAAAAGGAATATTTGTACAGAAGGAAACTTGTTAAGTTTTTGTGAAATTTGAAGGTGGAGAACTTTGAATTTTTTTTCAAGGCGCATCAAATTTGCATCAAATAAATTAATCCATCAAAATTTAAAGCCACTTTAAAGATTCTTCTGCTTTTAAAACTACAAATATTCTCAAACTACCGAAGAAATCAATCTTCCTCATTTCAATTTTTTATCACCAATGCCACTCACTCGAATGATTCACAATCCATCAAAATATTCCACAGAACAATCAACCATCCAGCCAAACTTATGCTTTCCCGATGACGAAATCGAGACCGAGACTTCCCGGGAAGTCTCGGTCTCGATCTCGTCTCGGTCTCGAGAATTTTCCGAGACCGAGACCCGAGACTAGAGAAGAAAAAAATTTAGGTAAAAATGATAATTTTAGAATTTTTCCCATCACAGTTTGTAGTTAATCTTACAGTTAGGGTAAATGACCTTGAAATTTGCGCATTTTCACACATGAAATTATCATTTGCTTCAATCTCTTCGGAGGATTGTAACTGAGTCCAACTAATGGTCTTGAAATGCAGGGAATCAAAGATATTTTCTTCTTTATATGTGTCAAGGAAGCTCTGCTGCGACAATGCAGAGAAATTTGACTTTTAAAGTTGATTTCCAAAACCCAGAATAGTTTTAATAGGGACACACTTTCTTATCATTATGCTTTTCTTTTATCATTACGTATTTCGTATTTCTTTTATATTTTATATTAGTATTAAGACAATAAAATTAGTTTGACTGATCGCATAACAAGGTCTAAGTGTTTTTTAATTACTTTCAGCGAAATTTTAAGTAGTTTTTAAAGTCGAGACTTCCCGGGAATTCCCGGGAAGTCTCGGTCTCGGTCTCGGTCTCGAGAATTTGTCGAGACCGAGAAATCGAGAAAGCTTAGCCAAACTAACCATTTAAAATGAGACCACTTATCTTACGAAAAAAAAAAAATGCGGTTTGAATGAATAAAAATTATTACGAGCTACCGTTGGAAGTAGAAATGCTTTTGTATTCAAATAAGATAAAGCAAAAAAAAACAAGAAAATAACAAATTTCCATAAAAAGCGACTTCACATTACACCTTGACAGATCAATCATTCAAGCTTAGATCGAGAAGTGTGTGTTTGGCATTATGTTGTGAGTTTTTTAGCCATTGATATGCTTCGGTTCTATTCATACAATTGGATCAGGTTCAACAGTTTCTTTAACTTGATTCTTTCAATTTTAAGACAAAGAAGAGGTTGAATGCGTTTGGCAGTTGAAAGATTCCATTACTTTTATCGCTGAGATTGACGTAATATTTACGTATGTCTTGTGATGAATAATGTAACTTTGGGGTTTTTGAGTTGTTGATATTCTTGCATCATATGTTTGTGTTTGATTGATTGAAAGCTGTTTGTTTGTTTTGAGACTCTTTTTTGAAGGTTATTGGAGAATGTTTTCAAGGTCACAATTGAGCTTAACAGAATAGTCGTGTGCATGTTCTTATGAAATATCTTCTAATTTTCATGCACATGCTATACCTTATTCTAAACAATGTACAACTTCAGTTCCCCCCAAAAAATTTAATCCTATCCTAAAGTATACCTTCATCAACATATCAATTAACAGCCCAGTTGCAAAACATTAGCAAGTTAATTGTATCCCATAATTTGCAATTGTCATGCAGACCCTCCATACTTTTACAACAAAGCATTTCACTTTGTTCCCTTTTCAATCCGTTTTTTTTTACAAATTATCCAGCAATATATATTCAATCATCAGCATGTTGACGCAATTAGTAATAACAGCCAATTTAGACACACATGTTGCCGTTTCATGACAAATACACATATTTCGATCATATTCTCTCTTTTATTATTTATGAGGAAGAATGAGGAAGCACGAGAAGACGAGAATGAGAATGAAAAAAAAAACATAGAAGCAGATTCAATACGACACTATGTTCAATTACAGGAAATGGCCAATTGTGAACACATTGTGATTGATGTTGTCTCATTAGATTTTCAATTCAAACACTTCGGAGGCATTGACTATAGGAATAATCACGTAGAAAAATTGCTTATACAGCTCCAGAAAACGTAAATGGTAGTTGACTTCTAAATGTGAATCGATTAAAAGGTCCAAGTCAGCATGAGTAACGCGATTTTCTTGACTTTTGCAAGCTGTTTCACAACTCCCGTTTTGACAAACTCGAATTGACCTTATAGGCGCTTTATGTGGTGTTTGATTTGGATATTCTGTTGAAAGCTAATAACACGTATGTGGTCATTGCTGAGCTTATTTGTACAGAAGTGGCCTGGTCATAATTTTATTTTTGCAATGTTATGGAAGCGATTAATAATTTTCAACTTGATACACTTACAAAAAAGATATAAGAACCGCATTGATTATCAACACACTTGAGTATTTCAGTCCAAAGAAGGTAATCAGTGTCATGGAAATAATAAGCACTTGAGTGTTTTTCGATAATCAAATTTCATAACAAACAATCTCCGAAATTTATAAGAGCACTCGTTAATTTAATATTATTATTGGAAAGAAGGTGTTTTCATTCTGTTGGATATGCCGCATTCCAACTCTGAGTGTGATCTAACACTGAAACATTTAGCACGTGGACAAAAAATGTCTTTATCTCTTCTGGAATTCAGTTATTTCACGATAATTTCAAGAAATTGCACTTTTTCTTAAGAATTTTCATTAATTTGGCATTTGATGATTGTCACAAAAATATTTTGAGTCAGAATTTTAGTGGCGTGGAAGTATTTTTTGATAATTAAGTGTACAAAATAAGCTATAAATTGAATTGTAGGAAATAAAGTGTTGTAAATGTTTATTGACTTTTTCATTTACAGAGGAAATAAAGGTAATTATGGTATTGACATATTTTCGAGGAGGTTTAATTAAATTGACACACATAAAGCTCTTCTGAAAAATTTAATAAATATTTGAATCATGGTTTTTAAAGAAAAATTACACAAAAAATTTATTTTGTTAAAATTGTAAGGCAATAAATTCATAATTGATGTATAAAAATATTAAATTTACTTTTGACTGGTTCGTCATTGGATTTTTGTGAAATTGGTTAAATGATACAAAAAGAACCTCTTTTTATGAGTTACGTGAAAAATAAGTGATTCATATAGATGATTAGCTTTTAATGACTCTTATCCAAAAGATAAGGATGTAATTAATTTCTTTTGAATATCTCCAACTTATAGAAACTTATTTTTGCTCTGGAATATCTGTGACTAAATCAGGATCGTAGCAAATAGCATCTGCTTTACACATTCTTTCGAAGAAGTCAAACAATTGACCTTCTGGACATTCTCTCAAATATGAAATTCCTGGAAAAAAATTAAAATTAAATTTTAATTAACGACAAATTTTAAAATCTTTCAAAAATGAATCTTTCCGAACTTGAATTTTTTGGTACGGATGACATTTTTGAACGACTTTTAAGAATTTATAAAAGAGCAATTTTTAATTCTGCTTCAAAATTAAATACTTACCATTATGGCATCTGAAATACTTGTGACAATAAATTGTGTGATGGAATAATTGAACTCCTGGTGTAATTGGGCATTCCTTTAAAAATAAATTAAAATTATTATATAACATCCAACACAGGGACGTAGCCAGGATTTCGAAGAGGGGGGACAATTTTTTTTGAGGGGGGGGGGGGGTGATTTTTCGAGTTTTTCATAAAAACTCTAGCAAAATGAAGAAATTTCTCAAGACGAAAGGGGATTTGTCCCCGAAGTCCACCCCCTGGCTACGCACCTGATCCAACATTATCAGGTTAACTAAGTTCAAAGTTCAAACTTACAAATATATTAGGATTAACTGTAGTTGTTGTGGTTGTTGGTGCTACAGTTGGTGGTGCTGTTGGTTCTGGCACTCCATCTCCATCACCAGCATTTGTGGTGGACTCAACAGGATCGAGAATTGTTCCATTGCCTCGACTCTCACAATCAACATTCGATGAGAAATCACACCAATTATTATTAGTATCAAAAAGTAATCCGTCAGCACATCCTCTTGAAACAGCTCTTCCATCGTTACAAACGAAGTATCTTGCACAGTCGTGGAAATCAGGTAAGAATACAAGATTTGATGGATTATCATTGAGAGGACATGACAGTGCACAGAATGAAAATTGTGGAAGCCTGCATTGTCCACTAATATTATTAAACAAAAGCCCGGGAGCGCAAGATCTTTCGAATAGAGTTGTATGTTGGCAGACATAATAACGTGAGCAATCTGTTGGATGTGGAAGCCATTGAAGTTTATCACTAGGACAGACAGGTCCAATAATTTGTGCAGTAGATGACTGGAAAGTCACAGCCACAGCAGCGAAAATTAATAAAATTTTCATTTTTATTCACTTTATTTTATTTTATTTTTAAGTTATCACTTTGAATTTCTAAAAGACACTGACGCTCGAGTGTAAAGAATGCCGACATTATATCTGTAAAAGTTATCGACAAAAAAGGTTTATGGCTTAATATCATTATTCTTTGTTATCAGGGAAGGAAGGCTGTATAATCATGTATTTCCACCCGAAAGAAAGACAGTCAATAAATTGGCAGGTGAGATCCCCTTTCTTTATCATTTTAGAGATTATTGTCTTCAGTACCTAAGTCTAATTATGATTGAGGTATCGATTTTATTAGATATACTGGGAATTTCTACTCAAGTGGATGTTATTCACTATTTGAGGTTTTAAGTCATCGATAATATTATCTATTTGCTGTCATTTTTGGTTGTGCTTAATTGTAGTTTGATTGCTGTTGCTTTTATTAGGATTTTGAATGGAAATAGCTTTAAATAAGGAACCCACACTCATAAATTATACAAAGACTTAAATTTTCGATTTTTTTTTAAAAAAAAAATATTTTTCGCAATCAAAAACCCTGAATCGTAATTTAATCAGCTTTTCCAGGAACAACTTAATTTACCTCTACATTTATTTAACAGAAATATAATTATATTTAATCACCCGGACTCAAGACAACAAAAATATTTGCAAAGCAACTCATTCAATCAACAAAAAAAGCTTCAGTTTATAAAGCAAACTAATCCACATGTCATAAATATTGTAAATAAACTGCTTAAAATACAAAAGATGACAAAATGAAGCCAATATAGCATCCAATTTGATCTCCAACAACCCAATTTATTTAAAATTATCAACATTATATGTATTGAATGCCGTCATTAAGTTCAAATCGAATCGTTTTGCTTTCAGATTCTTTTATTTATTTTTATCGTCTCAAAAAAAAACTGTTTTTTGCTGTCTTTTTTTGCTCGTTTTCCTTCCTCACAATCGCATTTGTTCCGTATGAATGGATTGCAAAAGTGATATGAAAAATTCATAAATATATATTTTTTATTTTTCCATTCTTTGTTCTGCTTCGCATAGAAATACATACGAGGTGAACCTTTATCGTCTTCGTTTTGCTGACTTGTGATGGGAACTTTCGGAAAATTATCAAAAATCGACCAATAGTGTTGGAGTTACAGAATTAAATACTCATTTATTGGTGATAAGGTGTAATGTTGTAAATACTTAGTCATTAATATTGCTAGATTAGACTTGATAAATTCTCCAATCGAGAATTCTTACGGTCCATACTGTGATATGACTTCGATGTTTCGACAAAGCTTTTACGTAGGGGGTTATAAATGTGTAAAGGGCATTTTAAGAAGGGGAGCTTCATATCATTCCTTACCCCCCATCCCATGGCTCCTTCTTCTATCACAAAGTTTATAAACAACTTTAATTTCTATTTACACTTCCACAGATTCCCCCCCCCCCTTCCCCTTCCATATAAGCTAGACATCAGAACGACTTCTTGAGAGGCTGAATATCAAGAGTACCAACTTCTTGCTTACCAGCAACAGAGTTAGATGGAAAGCCTTCTGTTCTACATACGCACATGGTTACAAAGAAGGAAGAAGAACTTCTTGCTTAATTAAAAAAAATGTGAAAATTCAACAAAGCTTTCCATAAACCACCTCGCCACCTCCAAAACTTCCTATCCCTTGCAAACTCTTCTTACTGTTATTTTTTTTACTGCTCATAAGGACAGCAGAATGTACATTTATGAAGAAGAATTAAACATTATGCACTCATGTATGTATATGAATTGCATTATCATTAAATTACATAAATCTTCTCCTGTGCTCGCTCTTCTTCCCTTTTCTCGCTCATTTCTATCTCATTGAGAGTTCATTTTTTATGATTTCATAATAAAAAAGATTTTATTTTATCGAGTTACAGTCGAAAGATATAAAAAGAGATTCTTTGCAATGCATTTAATATTATAAATGATCGCTGATAGTTTTTGTGTTGATGGTTATGTTGCATTTAGAAATATTTATCGAGGAATGAGAACTTATGAAAATGGAAGAAATTGTTTTGTTGATGACATCGAAGAAGTTGCTTAATCCCCAAGAGCCATCAAGAAAATGTTTCTGACTAGTCATTTGGATGATGAAGATCTGCTTTTATTACTTCTGAATGCACAATTATACATACAATAAGCCTGAGGCATTCAACAAATGAGAAGCCAACCCTTGACTCACCCAACATACTCTCTATTAAGTATACTCAAGTGATAAATTACATGAGGAAGTCTCTATCTGTATCGTCTAGTTCTCGATTCTCGAAAAAGTTAATCACACAATCAATCAGAAGTTCAGTTAGGAGTCACCCATTATTCATTAAAAATTTTTGAAGTCTTCTGTTGCATGCTCATAAATAGAAGTAATTTATGTTAAAAACCACAACATACAAATTGCCAAGGTAACGTCTTTGCACATCTTTAAAGTTATTAAATTTTATTTTTTAATCTTTTCACTTGGATTTATTTTTTTTTATGGGAAAACAAAACGAATTTTTTTTTCGTACTTACGGAATAAAAAGTTAAAACAGTAACCGCAAAAATTCATTGATTCATAAAATGTTGAAAAAAAGGGAACAATAAGATAAAAAGACAAAACAGAATGAATGGAAGTCTTCTTCATACATACTTTTATACTTTGACGGTAATAAATTTTAATTGGATTTATTAAGAATGATATTTCCGCTTCAAAAGTTAAAGTAACTTGCACAAAAGACACAAACAAAACAGTCAACAATTGGATAAAGAACAAGGAACAATTTCTGGCTTAATTATTAATTTTTATTGATGAGAAGCAAATCTAGAGTCATTTTTGTAATTTATAAAATAATTTCCCTTTTATGGACATCCATTGTTATTGTCGATGTTATAATTCAAAATATATTGTCGCATTATGAAAAATATTTATCTAATTCATGCCATATATTAGGAACTGATTTTTTTGTGTTGGCAATTTAAGCATTTTGCTGGTTTGGGTGGGCACTTTTGGAAGCTAATTTTAGGCTGTTTTTGTAAGAATTTGGCAAATTAATTCGAACCATTGATGGTTCTCGTAAGGAAAGAAATCAGAAAAGAGTAGTGGGGGGGGGGGGGGGGTGTTGAGGTATCAAAAAGAACAAGCCTCCACATTTGAGACTCAAGCTCCACTCCCTTAAAAAATAAGAAAGGTTGTGCTGTTATTGGCTCAAAATGGCTAATATTGTAAACTAAAGTTCATCTTTAATAATCAACTAATTCCACTCGACGCTGACAAATCACAAAAATCCCCTCAAAAAATTTCCTATAACTCATCTTCATCATGACACCCTTGAAAAGATGCCATCATGAACTAACGTAATTGTTTACAGTTACTTCTCAAAGGTCGTGTTTTGTACTTTTGAATCTGATGACCAAAATGATCCAAAAATAAAGTTCAATTGTTAAAGTACAATAAACTTCCAATTTAAATTCATCCGATACCTTCACATGTCATTGATGCGATCCTTTCTCTCTGAGTGCTGATTGTGTTAAAGTAATTGCTTTTTATATGATTGATGATGTCTCATTATGATATGTGAGACGTGTCTTATTGTTTCAATTATCATTATTGCAGCTATGTGCTTGGTGCTTAATAATTTAATTCCCTAAATGCGCTTTAAAATTCTTCCATTTGATTTAACTTTTATGAGGAAAGATTAAGCTTTTCTTTTTTTGTAGAGCGAATAAGAGTAAAGCAGAACTCACAATATTTTTTATTTATGTTTTCTTACTTTTTGTCATCATAAATCAATTTAATAGGTTTTTGTATGTCGTTCTTGTAAAAAAAATCTTACTTTTCTATCTAATATTTATTTATATGAATTTAAAATTTATTCATCTGATATAGTTTCTCGTTTTCTCTTTCCTTCCTTTTGCCTCTTTCACCTAATATGAAACTCCCGAATAATTTTTATATTAATTTATATTAAAGCAAGATATATCTGGTTCCATATAATTTTTGTCTCATTCTTCATTCTACTCAACTTTCTTCAATTTCATTTCTTGTGGATTTTTATCATTTAAATGTGGACTTTTTGTTACGCTTAACTAATGACAATTATTGGAAGTTTTGAAAGTTTTAAGGAATTTTATGATATTTAATATGAATTTTTGTGATTTGGATTTATTGATTTAAAAAGTTTATCTTTTAAAAATCTTCTTCATTATTCTAAGAAATCTTATTTTAAGATTCACAAAAAGAATTCAGATTTTTACCTTTACAGCTGCCATTGAAAGCATTCACCTTACAGCAAATTGTCGTAAATAAATATCTAATGACATTTTCAAACAATTAAATGTGTGGGCTTGAAGATTGAGTTGTTAATACAACAGCAGCAAAATGCTTTTGACATTTTGATTAATTTTTATTTTTACAAATCTGAAAGTTTGGATATTTATTGCGGTGCAGTAATGACAACAATACTTTGCAAAATTTGATATTTGTCAAGTAAAAGTGAAATATTGATCGGAAAGTTCAATGTTTTGTCTTGACTGTTCTGGAATTGAAACTATTTTTAGAAAGTCATTCACTTTTTGCTTGACATGAAGAATGAAGTAATCTAAAGATTGGAGTCTCATAAGAATCGAACTCATGTCGATTCAAAAAAATTCAATGTTTCAAGATAAATGTCAAAAAATGTCCGAAAAAGAGTCTTTAAGATCCTAATGAGATATTTTCATAAAACTAACCTCATCCTAAAATGGCAAAAACAAGCGCTAATCCTACAAAAACTTTTCAATTCCAAAAACAATTCAAATAAATTAATCTAGAACTAATTGCCTTCATTAATTTAACAATGAAACTGCATTCCAAGTTATCCAAAAATGGTTATCCTATTAGCTTTGAGAACAAAACGAAATAATTGAAAAATTACTCTAATTTATGACTCGATTACTGTCCATTGCAACTCACAAAACTGACCTTCTGTAAATGAGCATCGATTGTTGTAAAATTTTTCACGGCATTCTGTTTAAAAAAATTTTAATGAGAAATTCATTCAAGAAATTATTTATGCACAATTGGATTTCAATGATCCAGTGGCGCTTTGTAGTGTCCTAAGTACAATATAGTTCAGCTGTGCCTGTTTCAATTAGCAACAAATTGAAAAGTAATTGTCTAAAAAAAATTTGGATGAAGACTGCAAAAAAAACAATTTTGCCATGTCAGATTTTCTTGTAATGCTTTACATATGCCAAAAATATCTTGAACTCTTCTACCTGCAACGTCAAAGTTGTAAAGAATATTGAAAATTGTCGAATTACTTCCAAATGATTTAATTTTATGAAATTCTCTCAAGCGTTTTGGCATCGATAGCACAAAACCAAAAAAAAAACTTTTCAGACGAAAAATATTTTCTACCCTCAAAAAATTAATTTCATATACACGCCCAATTAATTCATCAAATTTCTTATTGAAAATATGGAACAAAAGGTGAAATGTAAGACGTTTGGGAACAGAGTTGAAGATTTCTTTGTGATTGATGTTCTTGAGATACAATTTTGTCATCGACAGGCTCTATTGTGGATTAATAATGAAGATTCTAAGTTCTTATTTTTCAACAAGTTCAGTAGCTTTTAATCAGACGCGTAGCCAGGGAGTGCATCTGGGGGACAAATCCCTCTTCGTCTTGAGAATTTTCTTCATTTTTCTATAGTTTTTATGAAAAATTGAAAAATACCCCCCCCCCCCCCCCCCCAGAGAAGGCAAAAATTGTTGAGAAAAAAAATGCAAAAATGTTTCCTGTGATGAAATTTCCAAGTACTCCACTTTGTATTGGAAAAAAAATTGTCGAAAAATGAATTTTACCAAAATTTTGATTGGAATTGATGAGAATCGACCTTTTTACATCTAAAAATTTTTACTTGGATGCTTCAGTTCTTTTAAATTTGACTTTTTCAATTTCGTTTGTGGAGGACTTGGAAATTTCGTCACAGTAAACATTTTTGGATTTTTTTCTTAGAAATTTTTGTTCTGTACCCCCCCCCCTGCCCCCCCCCCCCCCCTTAAAAATTTTCCATACAAAAAAAAATTCTTCTTTCTTCTTTTTCCAAATTTTCCCTTGATCCTGCTTCAAGTGGGAATAGAACACACGTCCCCTCAAAAAAGTTGCAGATATTCAGTTTATTGCCTAACCCTTGCCTTTAGCCTAGATATAAATCAATACTACAAATTGAACTCTTTTAAAATAAACCACAACAAATCACACCAACCCTGCATCATCTAACTCAATAAGTTTATCTCAAGTCAGCAACATTTTTGATTGACAGCGCATAAACACTAAACAAACATTTTTAACCCTTTCGCAGCAAAACTTTACTCTTGTTCAATTTTATATTCTTGGTACAACTTCTTGACAAGGAGTTGTAATTGATTGAGGATTTAAGTAAACACTTTCTCTGCAAAATTTTTACTGTTTAGATAAAGACGAAGAAGAAGAAGAAGAAGGGATATTTTTGAATAAACAAACAGAAAATTGGTAGTTTGGAGAATTTTTAAGGATGACTTTTGGTTCGTGGAAGATTATTTTTTCATCCCTTTTTGTACTGATTCAGTAAATTAAGCACATGCGACTTTGCTGTTATTTCTATGGATTATGACTACTTTTGACACTTAATGAAGATTCTTTAAGGTTAAAATGATTGGAAAGGATTTTAATTTGTATTTATTCAATGAGGTTGCAGCAATTTTTGGATAAAGAGATTGCTAGTTCGAGATTTCTTAAACTGAATGGCATAGCTTTAATGGACATCGCTTAAAGATTACTCAGTTGAAATGCGTAATAAAACTAATGTGATGAAATCAATTAAATGTCAATAAATCGTATCAAGTTCTGTGATTCATTAATTGTTTTAGGAAACAAGATAACATTTCTATTGATAAGAAGTTAAATGATTTATTTTGAAACTTTTTATCTGATCCAGTTTTAAATTGTTTTCGCAACTTTTGATGATAGTGTCTTATCAGTAAGTAAGTGTACAACGCATCATTTCTGTGCATAAAAGGCTTTGAACATGTTTGTTGAATTTGTAGTTTTTATCGAGTGTTCAATTGATTAATAAGAAAACTCTAAAGTGCATTAAAATTGATAAGGCATTAAAATTGCATTTAGTTCAAAATTTAGAAAATGGAACCAACCACAAAATTACTATTGACAACTTTATTAACTCTTCTAACATCCTCGCCATACACAAGTGAAGCTGTTTACAAATTTTGCGATGGAATAAATATTTACAAAGCACCAAGTGATTACAGTTGTTCTCTGTTTCATTTTTGTGTGCCTGGTGTTGAATTTTACAATTGGACATGCCGAAATGGTTTGCATTTTAATAAAGAAACTAAAGAATGTGAGGATCCTAAAGTAGCAAATTGTGTTCTTCCTTGTCCTCAAAACGGTGACGATTTTCTTCAGCCAAATTATGCTGATTGCTCGAAATATTTCATGTGTAGCAATGGAGAGCCTGTTACGGAAACATGCAATGATGAACTTTTGTTTAGTGTTGAAACTAATCAATGTGAACCTAATGAGACTGTTGATTGTGGAGTTCGAGGAAATGGAACTGTGACAGCAAGACCTGTAGTAACGACAACGAAATCAACTGAAACAACGAGTTACAATCCAAATCCTGTAAGTTTCTCGGATAGCACAAGTTGGTTAATCGATCAGAAATCTGACGCCAAGCAGTCATGGCTCTGGCATGGAGCTGGATTCGATTAACTGATTGGTTTGTTTGATATGAAACTGAAATGGTTAATAATTAGTAATTTTTCCTTGTTAAAGATTTGCTTAGATGAGCAAGGTCCTTACTTCTTTCCAAATCCTTATGAATGTAGAAACTTTAGCGTCTGCTTTGATGGTAAGCTATGTAATGGATTCATATCCAATAACACATTTATTTTAATAAAACAGGAATGAAAATCATGACTCAATGTACGCCAGGCCGTGAGTTTGATTACATATTAAATGCGTGTCTTGAGAATGCAGTATGTTACGGATCAGATCCAACAACCACATCGGCAATGTTGACAACTGTTCCAGTCACAACCACTTCAACATTCACTGAAGAATCCACGACTTTAAGTACCACAACCTTCAACATTTTAACAACGACAAGAACTCCTGATAGATTTGTAAGTTGGTGTAGAAGTCAACAGTATAAGTTGTTAATATTTATTCTATTGTGTCCAGAAATGTCCATTAGAACCAGGAATATTTTATTATCCACACAAAGTTGATTGCACCAAGTACTTCAAATGCTATTTAGGTAACTGTTTTCATACATCAATAAAAATTATTCCATTCCTTTCCACTTTCATGCATGAATAAAATTACAATGCCGACTTTTTTTCCACCTTTTATAGGAATCGCTCACCTTCTCAGGTGTGAAGACGGTTTGCAATTTGACTACATTGAGGAGATATGTAAAGAAAATGCGAATTGCTACAATGCTCAATAAAGAACATTACAAACAGCGTTAAAATCATTGAAGCAATGAATGATATCCATGACGTATGTCACAACGTAGCGAATTACAGCAATCTTATCAATCACTAATATAGCTTTACTCTTTGTGTTTTGCGAAAATGTTTAAATTCTTTTATTATTAATTTTACTACTTTATAGGAATAAAATGTCTAAATCCCAGTTCTTCTTGTGACAAAAATGTTACTTTAAATTAAACCATCCAGACAGTTCAAATAAGGGCACTTGCACCAACTTCTACACAGTTTTTTAAACTCATTCAACCTCTTCTTTGCATTTAATTGAAAAAAAAATCAAGTCAAAGTAATTGTTGAACCCCTGGTTGAACCTGATTCAATTGCATGAATAGAACCGAAGCATATCAATGGCAAAAAATTCACAACATAATGTCAAACACACACTTCTCGATCTAAGCTTGAATGATTGATCTGTCAAGGTGTAATGTGAAGTCGCTTTTTATGGAAATTGGTTATTTTTTTTTGCTTTATCTTATTTGAATACAAAAGGCATTTCTACTTCCAACAGTAGCTCGTAATAATTTTTATTCATTCAAACCGCATTTTGTGTGAGATGAGTTGTTTTGCAAGTTGTGCAATTTATTGAACACAAACAGAATTGGATGGTCAAGTCAGGTAAAATATGGTCTGCAAGTTAAGCAGAATTTAGCAATTAAAATTTATCTTTAATCCACAATTTTTTCTCATTAAAATTTATTTCCACAAAATTATCCCTTAAGTCAACAAATCATCCTCACACAAGTTCCATTCCCTGAAAAATCCATTAAAATTTTTAAAGTAACAAAAATAAAAAATTTGCAAGAAAAAGTTTTGCCACAAAAATTATTTATTTTACCTCACACATTCATTATGGATTTCTCTGTTAAATAAGCACATAGAAAATTTTAATCCCTACCTGAAAAGTATCCATTTGTAAGCAACAAAAGCAGTTTAATAGATTTCATATAATCTTTTGCCATTATTTTAGTAAGATATTAAATAAACAGTTTTTAAGGTTTTGGGAAGCGTAGTTTTAAGTGAAGTATTTGGATGAGTTTTTTTGACATTTTGACCAAACTTATATTTTAGGCTGTTAGGGATTTTGACAAGTTAAATTAAGGATTTAGCCAGAAATTTAAAAGAAGGGGGGAATTTTCAGGATTTTTTGATAAAAACCCAAATCTGCCACCAACCCCCCCCCCCCCCCCTCTGGCTCTAAATTAAATGGTAACTTAGATTTTTTTACATCCCTGTTATATGCGCTGTCATTACTCATCTTACCAGTAGTTCTGACATTTTTTACTGCTTGTGACTAAAAAAACAGCACATACAAGACTTAGACTGTCTGCGAGTGAAGTCTCAATACAATCCATTCATAATAATTGAACCGAAAGATAAACAAATTGTTTATGAATTTAACATCAAATATTAATTGAATGTATTTGGCAGAAAATGTATACATTCCATAGTTGTTATAAAAAATAGGGGAAAAAGTGAAATGGAGAGAATGGAGAGAATGAGCAAGCGAGGGAGAAAGAATAACAAAATTTGATAGTAGAGGTTTTGGTTTTCAGAATATATTCGCACAGGATACAAGTACATATACAGTGTCTTTTCATTAAATTGGCTATGGAAATCTTAATTTAAGGATCGTTCATTTAAAAAAAAGAACAATAAAAGTCGCAGAAAAGCCAACTTCTCTCGTAATAAAGGATCGTTCCAGATCGTTCACTTATGAAGTCCCAAATTAACGGTCATTTTTAAAAAAAGAACAATAGATTTCTAGGAATTTCTATAGTTCTTTTCTTTCTGACCCCCCCCCCCCCCCCCTGGACGTCATAAGTGAACGGCCCCTAAGTGAACAATCACTTACTTATTATAAAATTTTCGGTAAAAAATGAAATAAAAGTCATCATTCAAGCCATTAAAGCATTCTTTGACACTGTAATTATCCAGTGATTTTCCCTTGCACTTCTTTTGCCATCCCATCCAGGCTTCAAAACCTCTGCTGTATGGATCGTTGAAAACTATTTTTGCACATCTCATTGAGGCTTGAATGTCATCATTCAATAGTTCTTGAAAAGACAATTTACTCAAAATTAAATTGATTATATTGAATGCATAAATTGTTAAATACTTACTACTGCAATCAACACTACATCCAGTTCCTGGATAGCACCAATATCTATCATTAATTTGAAAGATTCCCCAATCACTTGAACCATCGCTGTTGTATGGATTTATGGCTTTTGTATTAAACGAACTTTCAGAATCTACGAGGCACATCCAATCAGGTAATGATGATCGAGGAAATCCAGCCTTGTCCATTACTCGAGCAAGTTCGCATTTACTGTATATTTTTGCACTTGCAATTGTCACAAAAACTACGATGATGAGGAAAAGTTTCATTGCTTTATAGAAATTATGGTTTGACTTTCTGACTGAACCAAATAACTAAACTGAATAAATGAATTTATCAAGTTCTGTCTTTTATACAAACTTACTGTCTGAATCAGATTTGATAAGGGTGAATTACTAACAATTTTATATTAAAAAATCCCGACTTACGTAATTTAATTTGACATTACTAATATCTTAGTCAAAACTTAGTGTTCTAATTGACTAATGGATGCAAAATTACATTTACAAATCCAAATCATACAAGCTGAATACTTTTATGATTATACCAACATTTATCATTCCACAATTTATTTGAATAAAATTTTAGAATGACTAATTTGTCATCAGCATCATAACGTCCGGTGTGAATATCGCCGAAAAACCATTATAAAATGTACGTTGTAGATTTTCTATGTTCCGATGTGCATTTTAGTGATGTGACTGTCATTTGATTTGTTATTTCAAGTGGTTCACCTATTGTGTCTATGACATTGCTTTGTATATCTTTGTTGGCCTGAAATAACATCAAACAATAAAATGCATACAATTGAGTCGATAGAATCGCAATTTTTTTTTATGAATCGTGTGATGAAAAATTGTTTGCCAAAAAAAATTAAAAACATATTAGAGGTAAAATACAATATATGTGTGTTTATGTCTGATGAATGGCAACATGTTTTTTGTCCGTGCTCATCATCAAGATGTGTTGATGAAGTATCGATTTATTTTTATAATTTTGAAATTTTGTCAATATTTTTTTTTTCGCTGACCTTAGCTTAGCTATTTTTGAACACTAGTAAGGATGTAACACCAATCGCTATTATATGATTTGATAGCTTCAACTTATAGCTTATCTTTAGATACTAAGAATTTATTTTATGATTAACTATGCCATTTAAATCGTGAGCTCAACACAAAAAAAATATCAAGTTGATTCATGCCAAATTCATACAGACTTTGAGCTCTTATCCATTACACTGATAAGCTTGTTAATCTTATTAATAATAAAAATAATAATGTGTGAAGGGCCCAGCCTTTCAACTGGAGGCACTGCGATTCAAATTAGAACAGAATCTATTGTACCACACCCTTTAGACCTATAGTTTATAGTGGGATCCGAACCACTTGCAAGCTCTGCACATTGCAAAGACACGAGTACGTCATAAGACCTGATGTACCCTGCAATGTACCTAGTCACAATTCGTGTGCGCAAGATGCCGTAAGGAAGTCATCCAGATGCTAGTATATCCTTGTATACCTAGCAAAGGAGGCATATTCTGTGCCAAAGACCTCAAAACTACACCCAACACACGAACTGAGCTTCGTAACTAGAACGGTGAAATGGAAAAAGAGCTTCGAAAATTAGACATGGCCTGGGATTGAACCCAGGACCTTTGGCACAGAAGGCCAACGCTCTACCATTTAGGCTACTGATGCCATTTCACCGTTTGTGTTAATCTTATTACATGTGGTTAGTTTTATAAAACCTTAAATTCAGTGTGAATTCTTGATCAGTTTAATTGGTACTTTAGCAAAAATTACAGTGAACTTTTTGACAATTTTTGTATTGTTCCTTGCAGATACTTTGACTGCTGCAGAGCTACCAAATTGTCTTCAAGACAACAAGGCACGTAATCAGGGGAGGGGGGGGGATTTGGGGGACAAATCCCCCTTCGTCTTGAGAAATTTCTTCATTTTGCTAAAGTTTTTATGAAAAACTTGAACCCCCCCCCCCTAAAAGTTTTCCATACAAAAAAAAATCAGTCCCCCTCTTCAAATTCTTGGCTACGCCCCTGATGACAACCTTCATTATCATCTGAATAAAATAATCCGTCCTAAATACTTTTTGTACCATCTTGGAATTCTAGTCAAAAAATCATGTGCATCAGGACTTTACATACTCTGGAAAGTGTATGTTGCCAAGTCAAGCAAACTGTTTGTCATGCCCAGAAAGAGGTGAACCAGGAGTTATGGTATTTTTGCTGGATTTTGATGACTACCAGAGGTTTTTTGGAAGCTTTGATGGACAACCAAATCCAAAAATTTGTGTGGGATGATCAAAATAATTGGTGCAATCATAAGTCGAAAGTAGATTGTAGGCACAGAAAAAACCTTCAAAATGATATCATTCAATGAACTTATTGAATTTTTGAGAAAAATATTAGGTGAACTTAAAAAAATTGACTGAAAGTTTTAAAAAAAGTTAAATGAAAATAAAATCTTTGATTTGACATGAAATTCGCAACATTGTAGATTTTTTATTGCTTTAATATCACTCGAATTTTATGCGCAAAAACATAAAACTTTCAAAAGATTGACAGCGAGTGCGTCATGCCATATAAAGAGTCATGCGATCAAATAATAAAAGTCAAGTGTATGTCTCATTAGACTGAACAAAAAAAAATTTGTTGAAATGCGAGATAAGTTTAAGCAAATCACGTTAAATCCTATTGTTGATGTTTCTGATAAACTTCAAGTGCTACATACTTAATCGAATTTTAATTTTGCAGCTTATAATCACAATAAATGGAAATTCCATTTCACTAAAGAAGGAAAGGTCATCATGATTAATTCTGTTAGCAAGAAAAAGACAAATGTGTGCAGCGATGACTTGATAAGAAAGACCAGCTTCAATATTTACAGACCTCGCAGCTACACAATATTTTTGGCGGGGAACTAAATATCAATTTCACTTAATAATCTTAAATTGCTCTGACAAAGCAAACATAAAAACTTGAAATTGGAATCAAATAGTCTTAACCAGCACAAAAAAAAAGTTCCCAAATCCGGATATTTTTGCAATCTGAGCTTGCTGATCTTTTAGCAGCGATTGTGCCCGTTATGGAGGCGCAGTGACTGCCAGAAGAGAGTTCAAAAAACTGCCAAAAAATATAATATAATATAAAATATTTAGTATAGCCATACACAACAGTAAACTGATACTAAATGCTGGAGAAACAGAAGAGGAAAGAAGATCAGGCGAAAAAAAAGTAAAAATTATTTTGTAATAAATAAAAGATTAAACACAAGAGCTAACCGACCAGGGACGTATCATAAATATTTTGGCAAAATATCTCATTAAGTAAATAACTTCTCGTGGTTCGCACATAAATGGATGAGAAACAGGTTGAACTTATTCATGTTACACCACTGCTTAGCATACAATAAGAAAAATATCTTGAGTCGGGTCATAAAGTAATCGATTTCGGTTATAATCTTGAGTATTTAATCTCGAGTAAGTAAGAAAGTATGGACATTGAACAAGAACGAAAGGAAAATAGCGAGAGAGAGGAAAAATCAGCAAGTTGAGAAGACACTGGTGCTCCTTAATGGATGTGTATAGTGAGATTTTTATTATAAAAAGTAAATTACTTAATTATCTCGACAGTTGTGGTCAAAATTGTGTGTAACATCCAAAACACATCATTAACTTATTGTTCTTTTTATTGCTCGGTAACTAAGTGATCATTATTGGGTAGCTCGTGATTCAGCAATGAGTTTTTAATGAATACTCCTGTTTCTGATTGTATCCTTCTCATTTCTTTTGTACTTTTTGCGGTCTTGTATGTCCAAAGGGCTATCTTTTATTCATATTTGGTAAATGCTATTTAATTTAGCAGATTGAGATGTAAGAACTAATGTTTTTCGATTAGTATTGACATAAAAAAATTGGTTTACGCTTGAAGCTAGTAAGCAGAAGAGTTTCGAGGCTGTTGGGGCTGGCTTCTAAGACGATAAGGGGCACTACACAGTAGAATCAGTTCCATACGACTCTAAAGTAGTCAAAGGCTTAAGTTTCATTAAGAGTTTATTTAATATTAGCATTTGTAAATTAGGAATCCAAAGCATAATATCAATGTAGAAGATCCTAATCACCATATCACTGCTAAGTGTTCCAACTGGTTTTACATAGCTAGAACACACTCTAGAATATCCAATTCAACTAAGGACACATTGACAAACTGCCTTTCATACCCCACAATAGCTACGATCCTTTTGCATGGACCGCTAAAAAAATGTTTATAAAAAATCATAAAATAATGGATATTGTATATTGAGGAAAGCATTCTTTGTTGCTTTTTATCCATAAATTAAAAGAATTTTTTTTTGTATTTTATCGCTGACGAGGAATCGAACAAGTATTTTTATATACACATATATACATAAAGTATGTGCAACAAATGTTGAAAACAAGATGAGATGAAGAGCACATCTAACAAGGCCCTTAATTAATTAATGACTTATTTCAGGCGCTATTTTTGTATAAGAAAATAATCTCCAGCGAGGAAAAAAAAATTATTCAGTGAAGCTGAGATGAACAATATAAAAGAAATGCAAATGAACTTTTATGCTTGGCCTTTTGTGTCGATGTGCACTTTAATAAATGCACTCACTATCTTAACTTTGGATCGCATCTATGTAAGCTTAATTTTTTTTTATTTCTTCTTAAGTTGAGCTGCTGCAAAAAATGTAACAAAAATTAAAATTCTCGGTATAAGTTCTGATGAGAATTGATTGTGATGCAGTCGATAAAAATGGCTATGGATAAAATTTATTATATTTTTTTTAAAAAATTAAGGAATTGGTTTTTTTTTGATTTTTTTAAATTTGTCCACAAATTACTAGTGCTGTAGCATTAAGTTTGCAACAATGTAACTTTGTCCACTTATGTCATGCAGCGAAATTCTGTGGTCAACTTATTGCACAAAATAAGCTCAATATACCACAAAAAAGATCAATAAATCCCACCCAATTTCCCAATAATTACCACATGATAAATGCATGCAACCACTAATTCCATAAATGATCTCAATGCTAATTAACCATCACATTCCCATTTTCAAAAACCATAGAAAATCCAAATGAACTTTTAATGGATCACCGATGAAAATTTTAAGCACACCAGATACATCATCAAAAAACTTTAATGCTAATTAATCTAGAAATATTACCATAAATCCCCACAAAAGCTCAATCAATCTACATACGACCGAAAAAAAAGTACATTCAATCCATACTTAACATCAAAAAAGAATTGAAAACAATATTGAGATTGTTACATAAC